TAAAGGACTGATAAACTATCGACAGTAAAAATTCCAACGATAATGAAACTTTTTAAAAATAAATTTTTCCCCGTTTCAAGCCCTGATTAAAACCGTTTAAAGAGGACGTCCGGGCGGATAAACTAAGCTAAGTTCTGTTTTAAAAAAAAAAATCCTGTATTCTTCGCAATTTTTTTTTATCACCCTCTAACTATAATACAGATAACCCACATTTAGAAAATTTTCCTTGTTTAATAAGCTTAAAGTTCATATTAATTATGTTGAGGTTTATTAGGAAAAAAATTAGATGAACCTCATGTTATGTTAAAACATTGGGTGATTTGATGTCTTAATCTAATTGAGGTTTATTACGAAATGAATTGTTAAAAGTTATGATATCAAAGAGTTTGTCATTGTTAAAACTATTTAAAGAGGATTACTCAGCGGACAAACTAACAAACAGCGGACAGATAAGTTCCATTTAAGAAAAGTCAGAAATTATTTGTAATTTGTTTTGTCACCTTTTAACAGTACTACATTTACCTGACATTCAGAAAAACTTCCTCGTTTAATAAGCTTAAAGTCCATATTAATTATGTTGAGGTTTATTAGGAAAAAATTTAGATGAACCTCATGTTATGTTAAAACATTAGGTGATTTGATGTCTTATCACCAAAAATTATCTGTTTTTTTTTATCATTTTTGCAGGAAAATGACCACAATTATTGTTGCAGCATTTTTTTTTTTTTTTTTTTTTTTTTTTTTTTTTTTTTTTTTTTTTTTTTTTTTTTTTTTTTTTGTGATATGGGATGTAGTCGCATAATTACTTAAAAGAACATCTTATTTATAAAAATAAAAATTTATAAATAATGATTTTCACGTAAATTGTAACTGTATTTTTCTCCCAGATTTCCGTCATAGAAATTGATATGTATTTATCAGTCACAAACTTAATGTTTTTCACTAAAATTTACGTTTAAAATAAAGAAACCTACTGATCGCTTCAATTATTTACATGAAAACGTAAATCCTATGTAACTGTGTTTTTCTCTCAGATTTCTGTCATGGAAATTGATGCGTATTTGTTAGTGACAAACTTTATGTTTCTAGCCCTAACATTTACGTTTTAATGAAACTGATTGAAGCAATTAGTAGGTTTCTTTATTTTATACGTAAATATTAGGTCTGAAACATTAAGTTTGTCATTGATAAATACATATCAATTCCTATGTCGGATATTTGGGAGGAAAACACAGTTTTATAGTCACTTTACGTGAAAAATATTTAAATAATTATTATTTTAATAAACTCATGAAAGAAACCCTAGAGTAAACGGCACAACCTTATTCCAACGTAATATTAGAGAAAATAATTTATTATAAAATAAACTTAAACTTTTTAATAAATAATAAAATAAAATAATAAAATAAATAATAATAATAAATAAATAATAAAATAAACCTTTTAGCTATCGGAAAATAAAATTTTGGATTCATCGTAACATTTTGTCATGTTGTTTTCGGGAAAGTATTTTATACACATAAATTAAAAGGGTTTCAAGGGGAAGACTTCAGCCAAGTTTCGTTAAAATCGTTAAAGCCGTTTTGGCGCTACAGTTTATAGCGACACGTTTTTCGGCCGCCATTTCGAAACGAAAGACCGGATGGTAATGAAATGTTCAAAAGCACTCTTGAATTCGATTGTAACGCTGTGTCAAATTTTCAAAGCAATCGGTGAAGAACTTTCGGGGAATAGCGGCTTTAAACAAAAAAAAACATTTACATTTTTTTTTTCTTTACACATAAAATTATCGTAGGACGGATGAACTATGCCAGTAACCTTCGCGGGTGTGTACGCAACGACTTCCTAAAGTTTCATGGCGATCGGATGAATGGTTTAGTAATGCATAAAGGACAAACAGACAGACATACATTCATTTTTATATATATAGATTACCCCACAAATTTCACGAGATATTCTTATCAAGTTTTCCGCGAAAACTAGTCGAGCTGTGAAAAACGTTGTATTTTTATTTGAGGTTGTAAACAGTAAGAAATCAGAGTTATTTTTACATGATTCATTTTTTAATAAAGTTGTAGAAGTATATCACTGTTATGAAGGCTGTCTCCTGTGTTTATTCTAAACAAATACATTATATATTCAATTTTTAAGTATATATAATAAGTAAGATAATATTAAATATATAAAAATTCTTCCAATTATACAAACATGCAAACAAATTAATTTTAGATGTTAAACATTGTCTTGGTTCGTTTCACAATAATTAGGTTTAATTTTTACACATAATAAAAACTTTACCTGTTTTTTGCTTTATTATTCATTTTTTTTTATTTTTTGGTCCATCATCCTCCAATCAAAATCGAATGTCTGCGCCTATGCTGCTATCAGCCCTTTAAATAACAGCTCAAAAATAAATAGGGATATCAAAAAAAAAAAAACTTAACCTCTATAACCCATGACGGGTTTTGGCTTCAGTACTTAGTTGATTACGATAGCGGTGGATTCTAGGAAGTCTTGTGTCAGTAATGGTAGTAGGTGATGGAAGAAGGATCGGTGTACAATGACAGCAGTACTCGTCCATCAGGGTGGTCAGTACGATATGTCAAGTATTGTGGTATTTCAAAGAGATGTGTAGTGGTTAGTCGAATTTCAGTAATTAGTGCCACATCAATGTTCTTGTCAAGTAATAAAGCAGATAGTTTCTAACATGATTTCTAACACCATTCGCATTCCAAAGGAGAATGGATATAGATTTATTGGAAGTCATTTAAGGATTTTTGGGAGGAAGGATACAGTGTGATACAAGATTGATGAAACGCGATATCAAAGGAGTAACAAGAGATCTGAATTCGGAGAGGAAATATGTAAGTAAACTGGTGAGATCTGTGATATTTGACGGAGGAGAAATGTAAGGCATTTTGTGTTGATAGAATTGTTGAGGATTGACTAAGTTTGAGTAGTAGGGTCTTGAGGTGTATATTGTTGTTGCGGTAGGGTCTTACAATTAGTTATTTAATTCTTACCTCCCAGTAGGTATGCAAAAGACACCGTTGAATCTGTGATTTTGGAAGGTTTTCATCTTGATCTTTTTGTCTCTTCTTTGTTCCGGGATTTCTGATTTCTTGACTTGATATTTGTATATAACTGGCAGCCGCTGTAGTTCGCTGGATGTCCTTCAAGGTACAAAGCACTAACTGCAGGATCTCGTTTCGGTTTTGTGCTGCTCACATTTCACACAACGCAGCAGATGCCTGGAAATTGTGGAAGTGGCCGATTTCCCTCTTAAGATATGGCTTCACTACTATCACACTTATATAGTGCATTCTTCTTATTTCATATACTTTTTCGATCCCTTGAGTTGGCTCCAAGTCTACCGAAAAATAAAGGTAGAGGAACTTTTACTCCTGTGAGTTCTTTACTCTCCTTAAGAACATTGGTAATCTGGCGCAATATGAAACCTAACGTTTTCAGTTCTTCTTTTGCTTCAGTTGGTGTTGAGGGGTGTAGGTTTCTTATAACTACTCTTAAAGCTCACTCTTGCCGTAATTGATACGTATGAAAATCCGCTTTGGTTTCTGTTAGACATTTCATGATTTTTCTGTAGTTTTCAGCTGCATCTGGAGATATTTTAATGTCAATTTTTCTGCTTAGACATGAATAGCTTCCAGAGCCTGTTATTTTATTTAGTTAACACAAGAGCCAACACCAAGCAATGGATGCGTAACCGCCGTAGGATCGAATGTAAAAAAAGGAGAGACCGAGTGAAGAATATCACTATCCGATCCAACCTAGGTGTGCAAGATTCAAGAGAAAAAATAGAAGAGCGCCAGGTTAGGTGGTTTGGACCTGTCTCTCGAATGCCTGAAAACAGAATAGCAAGGTTCGCTTATGAGACACAGATGGGAGGTAGAAGACCTAGGGGACGGCCTAGGAAGACCTGAGAGAACGGAAAAAGGGAAACCTTTGACCGAAGAGGTGCAGATTGGACAAAAAGAAAACAATTGGGACAGATAGAGACTAATGGATCAAGCTCGATAAACGGAAGCCTTACACTGCTTAGCGGTAGACAAGGCTGGATTGAGTAAGTTTTAATAATGAGTGCAGTTTCAGTCTATGATTTAATAATGCACGTTTTTTCTTTACATATGGATCCCATGTCATTCTTCTATCAAACATCAGACCTAGGTATTGTACTCTGTCTATTTGTGGAATCGGTATGTTGTCTAAGTATACAGGAGGGCATGTTTCTAGTCGTAGAGTAAATGTGTTGTGACTTTTGATAATTTATTTGAGTTTTCCAAAGTTTACACCAATCGTTTATTGTTTGTAAGTGATGTTGTAGGTTGTGATGCCTGTGTAGGATTATCATGTCTAGTAATGATAGCAGTGTCATCTGCATAGGTTGCTGTAAGAGTGTGGATACTTTGAGGAATGTCATGTGTGTATGTGAAGTACAGTAATGGGGCTAAGATTGTTCCCTGAGATACACCAGCTAAAATTGGTCAAATTAAGGATAAATCTGAGCCATTTCGAGAAAAATTTGTATGAGAGAAAGGAATGAAGCATTAAGTAGAAGGTATGTGGAAGTAGGAAGTCTTAAGCCTAAAGAAAAGATCCTGATGCCATACTTTGTCAAATGCTTGGGCGACATCCAGAAATACTCCGGTTGAATATAATTTCCGCTCTAGTGTTGTCGATATGTAGTCAGTTGCCCTTTAAAGTTGTTGTATATAATTTTCAAACCCCGAATCGAAACGTCAGATATGAATAAGTTTTGCCTAGTATTTTATAACATAGATACACCTACAAACATACTGCTAATGAAGTTTCTCTATGAACACCTAAACTATAAATAAATGTAAAAAATATCAACTATGCTTTCATCAATATAATTTGAACAATAAAACCTAGGGTGTTAGAAATACTCAGAATGTATAAGAAAAAAAAAAGGTAGAAAATACAGATTTAAAATAACATACTTGAAAGATATATTTGGTAATATAAGTTATAAAAATTAAAAGTATCTGTTTATAACTGTGAATTATTTTCAGAAAAGGGTAAATAGATTTAATGACTGACTTTTTACATCTACTTGGCTTTAAATATTACTATATGTCAATAATCTGATAATTAATGACAACATATAATGACCTTAATACTTAGCATAATTATACCTAAAAAAGGTTAAGGTTAAGATTAGATGGTCCCAGGCCTTTGAAAATATATGTATTTTATTTTTAAACCTTATATTTTTATTTGTCTTTATAACCTAAATTTAATTTCTTAGTGTATGCCAATAATAATAATAATACAGAAAAATAAAGTAATAAGCTATCTTCAATGAACAAATTTTTACATTTAACATCAACATTTTTAAGATCTAATTACTAATCATAACAAAAATAAAAAAACAGAATATACAAGTCGAACTACATCATTTAACTGATTCCACACACAAATAAATAAATAAGATGACAATGTATTTATAAAATTAAATGGTATAATTCCATAACAATTTGTTTAGGTTGATGAACAAAATTTGAATTAGGGATGATTTTATGGTCAATATTCTTATCTTCAATGTTATCAATTAGAATTACAAATTTATGAAAAAAATTATATCTATAAAAAAATTTATAAAATATTAACCTTCAAAATAGGAAAAAACAAACAGGTAATTGTTCAGAATGTCTTCTTTGGACCCACAACACACCAAAAATATTTATTGATTAATCAATATGGGTTCCTACTACCTACAGATATTATTTGATGATATAGGCTAATATTATATCATCTTTAAAGTTTTATTTTGTAATAAGTATGGTTTAAGATTTTATAATGTCTAATTTTATTAAAAAATACAACCAATACACTTTGCATCAATTATATATATATTCTTGCTGATAAGAGGTTTTTGAGGGCTTCTTTATCTCCTGAGTGAATGGAAGATGGCGGCTGTGATCTACACAAAATATGAAACCAAAAAATAAATGTTTTTTTTTTAGCTTTTAAAACCTTTGGGTAGCTCATAGCAAGGGATCATTCTTTACTACAATACTACAGCATCCCTAGCAATTTATGAAAATACACTGAATAATCATTAGGGTGTATTATGGGTCAGAAGTAGGCATTCTAAGCAATGCTACTGAAATCTTAATAAATAAATATTTCAAAATATATGTGAATTGATTTTATTTTATAAAGATTAATTAGTCTTCTTTACAAATACTATAGCATCAAAAATAAACTAATAAATTGTGCTGTTAGGTTTAGCATTCCATTATTTTTAATATGAAACTATAATCTAAATCATGCCTAAAATCTGCCAATACAATAATAAATATCAAATTCAAAATAACCATTGCAGAGGTAAAGAAAACACTTTTTTTAAAAATAAACCATTATTAAAATTTAAATATAATAAATTTTAAAAACTTTCACAAAACAAAAAGTAAATGCGAACACTATTCATCACTAAAATTAACTAGGGGAACACAAAATGAAAAAAAACAAAAAAAATCACAAATTGATGGTACAGAAATATAAGAATGAAAATTGCTAAACATTAGATACTACATTAGATATTAACTACTTAATATCACAGATATTTAGAACAATAGCACACAGTTCCTAAGACTGGCATTGGAATTAAATGCATTTTCAGATCATCTAATACTAAAGAGATTTATGACAAATCTACTATGTTTTTTTATAAAACATTTGAAACAACAAAAAAGTATTTTACAAGAATTTAAAATAAATTAAAATACAGCTAACTTTATTGACCATAATGGGACCAATATTGTCAGTGACCTGAGATGCTCAAATTATAATATATTCTTAAAACAATAATCCAAAATAGTGTTCATCAAGGATTGGAAAAAGTTCCACAAACAGTTTAAATAATATGTTTCTTGAAACTTGTACCTAAAACAGAATAATTCTCACTTAGGAGAACCATTCTTCATTGGAAAACCTATTCTTCAGCTACCCATTAGGATACCCAGAATATTTAAAAATTTTTAGCTATGATAAAATTGATGTTAAAGAAAAACAGAACAAATGGATATTGATTTTGATTAAACGGATGTGAAGGACAAAGGAATGAAGTAACATCAATATATATATATATATATATAAATAACATCCATATGACTGAGTAAAACTGAAAGGGGGAGAGAGACAAGTTAAAGGGATACAGCTAAGGAAAGTCAATAGCTTTAACTAAGAATTAACTAAATCATAAAAAAATCTTAGTGAAGTTTCTTATCACAACTTATAAGTATTAATTGAATTAATAAGAATTTCAAAGTTAAATGAGTTTTAATAAACCAATGCATACAACTAAGAATGTATACACCAAAATAAATACACTGACCATCTCTATATCCCACACACTTTCCTGTAATCATTATAATTGAACCAACTATCCACAGCTAGATGTGTAATTTTTACGGATGGAATGTAATTTGTATAGGAAAAATAAATGCCTTTGTTTTATAGTTGCATTTTTGTTTTTATTTCAGTAAACCAATTGTTTATTTTTATTCATGTGTCCATTTTGATGAATGGATGAAATCACAATTTATCAACCAACAACAAATAGATGTGAAATCAAGTTGTTCTTTGATTTAATATGAAAATTTTAAAATTAAAAACAAATTAATAAAGAATGTAAGTTAGCGTACCGAAAATAAATAAGAAAACACAGAGAAGTGATGTGAAATGTGAATCAGTAAAGCTATATCTATTTATTTATTATCTACTTGTTATACGAAGATTAATTTATCATCATGTAAAAGTAATAATTTTAAAATATTGAAACAGGTTAAAATTGGAACTTTAGAACGTATTCGATAAATGAAACAGGACATCACATATTTTATCCCAATGACACAAAATTAAATTTAATTTGAATTAAAGTATTAAAACTTATCAAAGACTACTTAAAGTAATTTAAAACTTAAAGAAAGATACCAAAAATTCACTTGTTATCCATTATATAAGTAGGTAATAACAGCATAATTTCAATAATATATTCTCTAAAGTTACAATCAACAGATATTAAATTAAATTCTTAATAGTCAAGTAGGTCAGAATTATTATTTGGTTGACAATTTGTATTATTTTAAGTTCATGACTTCTTGAATCTTATATTAAATAAGTTTTCCATTTAGTGTAAGCACATATCTTTTTTAGAAGATCTGTATTTTACTCAAGCTGAACATAAAACTTATGTTTCCTGATTGACTTACATATGCTAAAATTTTGTTGACAAATTTTTATCATCAGAAATTAAACTGCTAAATCAAATATGTGCAAGGTATAAATAATTTTTATTAATCATATGAAAAAATGTTTCATGACAGTAATCAACCTTTGCCAAATTATATACAGTTCCAGGCAGATATTTGATCCTAAAATGACTAAGGAATGATGCTAACATTTAATTGAACATTTTAAAATAAAGAATATTTGTCCAGCTCACAGGTTTAAAAAAAAATATATATCCTAACTTTAATCCATCATAAAAAATAATAAATTTTCACAGCTAAATATTAGGAATTGACATCACTATTATAGTTTATTTATATAATAATCACTTTCTATAGAGGGGCATGCTGAGGTCTCAGAATTGAAATCTGATGCTATATTTCAGAAACTGTATGAGGTAAATCCCTTATGGTGACCAACATTTTCATATCATTATAACTTTCTTTAAGAGTTTTGTGAAATGAAAACCCAAATCTGAGGTTTTCCCTAAATAATGAATGCTCAAGTCAGTTAGGTACACTGACAGCCATTAGAAAAATAGGAAAGAAAATTTATCCTCACCCCCATTTTTTAATAGGACAGTCAACTATTTTTTTTTTATATAAAACTAGCCTTGCTATAGTTAATTTAAGGAAAGGCAAAACTATTATTTAAACTTAACTTCTTAAATTTTTACTTGACACTAGAAACATATTATAAGGCTGTACTTAATTTTGAATAGTGCTGCAGGAGGGACAGGTAATTTGATAAAAAAAAAATTCTATATTTATATGTATGTGAAAAAACCATGAAGATCTATGGTCATGTATTGTAATATTTTTTACAGACATTTATAAATTATAGGAGCACAAGTAATCAAGACTTGTAGGGGATATACACGAGGCACCCTATAGCACACAATACAATCGAATAGCTCACCAATTGGTACCGTTGAGACAAATTTGAGAGGTGCCTTTCCCACCAACATTATTCAAACACTTAAGTCCAAAGAAATTGAAAAAATAATCAATAATTATGAATTAAGCCTGTTTAGTCATGTCCAACAAAGCCCTATCACAATTTTCAATTAGGATATAATCATAATGTTCATCGCTGTTACGATTGTCTATATCAATATACAGAACCAACACAATGGATCAACATCCGATATAATTTAAATCAAAGAAAAGTTGTCATTTATCTAAAATGGTTTGATACAATAAAAAATCTATGAGATTTATATATTTTATTAACAGCTTAGTGATTTTTTTAATCTGTTTTGTTATCAAAATAATCTCCTCCAATTACTATTTAAAATTCTACCAAATAGAAATAAATATTTTACAACACAAAAACATTTAAAAGAGAGTTAAATTACTTAAACAGAGCTGCTGATTTACATTTTTAGGATATAAAAGTAAAACTTAAGCCACTTTTATTACTATAGATACACTTTCTAATTAACAGCAGTTATACAAGCGCATAAAAATTCTAAAAATTCATACATAAACTCGTTCCTAATTCTTTCTTTTTTTCTTCCTTCATTTAGTTGTCTAATCAGTCTTCCTTCATATAAAAGACAATTTTATCATTTCTACAGAGATAAAAGATTTTTTTACTGCAAAGAAAAGTAAAGTAAATGAACTTACAGAGAAATAAACTAATACCAAGGATTTGAAACAGAAATAAATTTTTCAATCACATGGGCAAACACAATTTGATTTAGTAACATTACATATATTTATGATTCTATTCTATGAAATCCCACCCTGACTATTGATATAAACAAAGGGTATAAAACATGCTAAGAAAGCTTGGAAAGAATTTTAAATAAATATTGTAATCTTTTCAATCCATTTTTTAATAATATATTATTCATCATAAAATAAAGTTTTTAAAACGTACACTTTTGAAATAAAATCAAGCATTCATTACAATTATTAATATTTTAATTATGCAAGAAGGAAATCAATAGGATGGCAATTGAAACAAATATAGTAAAAAAAATCTATTATTCCAATGCCGATATATCAGCCCACATTGCAATCATTTTCCAAGGCTATGAAGAACAAGAAACAAAACATGTAAAATAAAGGTATATTAAGGTAGAAAGAGTTTAACATTGCTCTGTTGATTAGTCCCTAGCATATACTAATGAGTAATATTAAGAAAGAGAATTCTTTTTAATTAATACCTTAATAAACCCAAAAGATCCTATTCCACTTCAAAGTTGCTGTAATAGACTGCACATAACCTCTAATTTCTCAGACATTGGCTGTTTATTTCTTATCTGATATAATCAGGGCTTGAAACACTGTCAAAAAGACACCAATTTAATTTTTGGTCAAATCAATTATGACACCATGAAACATTTTGAAAAAATAAAATTTAAATAAGTTCTGTGAAAATTTAGTGTTTTGGGTTCATTGTAAAAGTTTATTTATTTAAGTTCTAAACAAACAATTATTTACATTAAATAAATGCAATTGGGCTTAGATTGAAAATAAAGATATTAGAAACGATTAAAAATGAGAATAAATTTTTCATTTTAAGCCCTAGTTATGACCAATCGGATGTTAATTATTCATTTCCATTATACTTAATTGCTATTTCCTACCTCTTATACTGACAATTTATAAACTTCTATCACTTTGATTGTATATTGTTCTTTGTAGTCCATAAGAAGGCTTGTTATTAAGGTCTAAACATAAGTATTTAATTAACACTTTTTTAAATATTTTTTGTTTGATCCTGAGCATCTCCTTGATTAATACTACAGTTGAATATTTAATAGGCATTTGATCAAACTATTGAAAAGGAAACCGCAATATAAGTTCCATCATGTAAAATCAGTTAATGAAACTATATAACTGAATGATACTTATCATCACATTCACATGTATCAAATTTTTAACATATTTTCAGGTGAAAAATTTGTTCATTCTTTTATTGCACCATATAACTTTTCTAATGATGCTTAACCCAATATGTATTGGAGATCATTGCTATGGAACTTAACAATGACAAAATTAACATTCATAATATATGAAATAATGGGCAAACATATATTATTATAACTTCATGATAAATAAAATTCATAATGTAATACTAAACTAAATGAGGCAATAATTTAACAACTGAAATAAATGTTCTAGATATTTTAGATAGTAAAAAAAAGTAATAATAATAAAAAGGCTACTTGATCACTCTCAAAAGGCATAATGGACATTTCTGTCTAATAATATCAATGAGTAACTATTGAAACTTCAAAAATAATTTTAAAATAAATTAATAATTGTTTCATATTTTATGAAGAAAAATTTAGAAAAATAACAATTAAAATAATATAATGAAAAATTAGGAGGCAGGGCACCACAATGAATTGTAGGGCTAGACTGAAATATTTAAGCAATAAAAAGTTTGCTAAATAAAAATTATTTTTAACATAACTAATCATTAAATGTATCAATAAAGAGATGAGTTATTCTATCTCAGTTAAAAGCTAATAGTAAAAGAATATGCGTTAATATGTAACCAATTAGGCATTAATATATAATATGTGCTAAATTTGCTTAATAATAAAACATGAACCGACACAAACAGAATAAAGATGAAATTTTTTTGTTTGCTTGTTGTTCATGATTATCTATTTTACGATAGTTAAAATTTAACATAAGTTTTAAAGAAAAGGAACAAATCCTACACAAACATAAATCCTAATTCAGTGTAGGAAAACACAAATACAAATATGAACAATTGGTGTGCAATTATCAAGCAATTTTAATTAGCTTCATATTTACAAGAACTTATAACGGAGTTATTTACAAATAAAACATGTAACATTAATATTTCTGAAAATTACATGTTTTAACATCAAAATTCTTTTTTTACCAGTTAAATCTCATAATAAAACCAAACAAATTAACAATTAATCAACTGTTTTGAAAAAAATTTAATATAGTTATCGAAACCATAGCTCATTAAGAAGTTGAACTATAAATGACAGCCAATTGTTATAATCTAAAATATTTTAGAAGGAACAATGAATCCAACAAATCTTATTTGAATAAATTACAATTATCACACTATAGTTGTCTTTATGTTTATGCAGAATATAAGAATCACAAAAGAATGCTATCACCAAATTACATCATAAGTACTTGAACTTAATATATTTTCAAATCATTACTATAAAATTACTAATAAAATAATACTTATAAATGATTTTCATTATTTTTTTTTTTTTTTTTTTTGACATTGATTAAGTAGTTAAATGCTTAAATTCTGTACAAAAAAAATAGGACGAAAATTATAAACATTAATCACATACAAAAATAAAATACTGAATAGATGTTATTTAAAACTAATATAAGTCAATTTCAAAAAATTATGGTTTGGAAGAGAGCTAAGAACATCCCGGCTTCTTGATTTCAAAATTTCAGTAATATTGTTTTCTTCTAAGCTATGAGTAATTTCTTTTTCGTTACTAGATCCTTGAAAAAAAAAAATTTTAAATATTAGTAATAGTAAAAATCTTAAACTCATATCAATAAATAAGATTAATATGAATAATGAATGATTGAGTTTATAAAACCATCATTCAAAATTTTATTATTAACAAGTAGTTCACTTTGGTTACACAACTATATGGTTCTTGAAGGGAGGAAGGTCAAAATGAAATACATAGGAATAATAAATGTATTTTTAAATATATATATATATATATATATATATATATAATAATGCTTTATTTATTCTGGGAGGAGTCCCTTTAGAATAATACAGAAAGATAAAGATGTGGGCTAAGGAGCCTCAGAGATACATAAACAAAAATATAGAATAAGTAAATAGTCAAAATAAAAAAAATAATGAAAGAAATTGTAAGTTACTTTCTAATTTAAATCAGTAAATAATAAAAAATTGAAATTAAACATGAAGAAAAAATAATGAAGAACGATCTAATAATTTATATACATATTTACAGTAGAAACTATTTACAATTTTATGGGGACTGAATGGATAATAAATGATTGAACAGGCGATTTTTAAAGGTAGGAAAGGTTTTGGATTGACGGATGTCGGGAGGGATGGAGTTCCATAGGGATGAGCATCGGATAATGAACGATCTGTCGAAAGCAGCAGTTCGGTGGGCCCTTAGGTATAAATCAGAAGACAGGGAACGAGTATTGTGGGAACGAACAGAGGATTTGAATTGAAGGAGCTCGGAGATGTATGAAGGACGGTGGGATTGGATGACTTGAAAAAGGAAGGACAGAGGCGCCCCTTGGGATCCCGAAGATGAATCGTACAAAGCAATTTATCAAACATTTTATTGCCTCGAGATTCTCAGAGACGCCCCCATGTACCTTACAGCAATAGTCAAAGTGGAGAAAAATTAAGGAAGTTACTAGGAGCCTACGGGTTTCAAGGGGAAATAGGTGACGGGAGTAATTTAGACGTTTTAAGGTGGAAATGGTACGGCAGGTATATATATCTATATACTGATACATGAATCAAGTTTTGCATAATTAAAGGTGTAAATGATTGCGACAATTTATATTTGGAGTGAATATAATAGACCAGAATTGGGCAAGAAGGTGTGAACAGCCTTTGAACTGGATGGAACCAAACCAATTACCAGACAGGCACGTCATAGTAGAAAGTAGATCAGACGATGTTAAATGGAGATGAAAGCTTACGAAGACAGAGACAGAAATATGAGTTTAAAAATAAGTCCTAAAGAGAGCAGTACTTGCTATCTCAAAAAATACATTAAATATCAAATATACTCCTACTCCAAATCTATAGACTTGGGCTTCCTTTGTCTTCCAGTAACCAGCTAGCAGGGATCATAACTCTGAGATGAGCAGTTAAGAATGAGAAGTTATGTACAGTAGTGTTACTGAGCAGTTTGTGTTATATTTTATATGAAGATAAAGTGTTTTTCTCTCTCTCTCTCATCATTATGTTTATGTGTTATAACTTCATTATAATCATAAATCCTATTTCATTATGCTGTATCAAGACAACAAACCGCAAGTACATTAATATTTTTATTTCTGCAGAAATAACACAAAGATATTCAAAGTGAAAAGAGATGAATAATAAATTAAATTTTAAATAATTAGATTACAAGAAAAAAAAAATTCTAAAGCGCTTACATTTGTAAATTTAAATGTAAGATCATTTAATTAATCATAATAAGAGAGAAAGTTTTAACATTGGAATAAAATATAAATAATTTTATTAGTTTTAATTATAAACCAATTTATTCTCTTTTAAAATCTTGTCTTGTGTTTCATGTTTTGTCTTACATTCACCAAAATATAATATTGAATTTATGTTAACAATTTCTTTTAATTTTTTATTTACTATTAAAAAATTCTTATAATGAGTATTAATTTTCTATAATTTTTATTTCCTTATATTTGCTTTTGGATCCTTGTTTAATGAACAAAATTGTGATAAGGTAAGAGAGATTTTATTAATGAAAATATAATTACGGAAGCTAATTTATTCACTTTATTTCATACACTTGCCATTGATCAGTTGAGTAAAACATTTGGTGGCTATTCACAAGTGGACAGTATCTTTAGACTAGCGGGTCTTAAACTCATTTATTAATTTTATTGATCCCTTTATTTAATTAAATCAGTTAAAGATAATGGTCAATGAAGTAAGGGAATGTAATATATATATAATATATATTTTTTTCTTTACTTACTATATGAAATATATAGTAAGAGAAAGTATATTGCAATCATGAACAATTTTTAATCTGAGTCTTCAGCAGAAATACTTGTTTCAAGGTCTCCTGAGTCGAAAGAACCAAGTATTACAAAAACATCTTTATGTATTTGAACAGCATAGCTAAAAAACAAAAAGAAATTTAACATTGAAATAAAGTGTTTAAGTTAGGTAAAGCCTACAATGAATCTTAAAAATTTTCAAAAAAATTGACTTTCTGGAAGTATCATTGGTTCTATACATTTTACAGTTTTCTTGAAAAACAGCTCCAACAATTTTGATTTAACGATAATGTAAGATTGAATATTTTATAACATCCGTTAGGTCTTATACCTATTAAAATAATCAGGCAGGGCTTCATTGCTGAATATTTAAAATTTGTTCCTCTAATGTGCCTTTAATTTTGTTCAGAAATAATTAAAGATCTCCTATTGTTAACAGAAATAAAAAAATGGATAAATATCAGCTATGTTAGATTTTGATAATTGACTTAAGAAGAAAAGGAGAGAAATGTTTTCATAGGTTGAATACAAATTTCCAGAAATAAAAATAGTAATATCGATGTATGATATACCCATTAAAAAGCTAAAGACTTTAGAATAATTATTACCTAACACACACAGTCGTTCTCTAGTCGCTCACAGATAAGAATATATACATTTATTAATTTCTTTTTCTTATAACTTTTCACTAATTATTTTTTATTTACTACAAGGATATATATTTATTTTTTATAAACTATTAAAATATATTTATTTTATTTTGTTTTATCAGTTTTATTTTTTTTATTACTTGCTTCCTTTTATTACGTTTTATTTTATATTTATAAAAAAAATTATAAAGAACAGAATCCAATCCAGTTAGCTAGATCTTTTGCTGAAATTACAAAACAAAATCCTAACACTATCGAAAAGAAAGACATTAGTGCATTCAAACGCATTCATTATTTAATTTTGGAGAAAATATATATAATACCACTTATACAGCTAACACTATAAATACCCAAACATCAACAAATCCTACCCACTCTCTGTCCCACCCACTAATCCCCCTCCCCAACACTCCTCTGGTCCCACCTCCAATCATAAACAAACATCCTACGTTAATCTTTTTTTATTACTACAAAAATAGACCTCATTTTTATATGATAAAGAAACACTATGTTCACTAACCTATTTATCTATAAAGCATACATTTATTTATATTATATGAATATGTGGAGATGCACGTATGCATATGTGAATGACTTTGTTTTACATTCCTATGCATATATATGCAGGCTTATATGTTTTTTTTATGTATATGTGCGTACTTTTGTATTTTTACGTACATACATAAGTATATACGTGATTGTGCTTATATATATATATTTGTATATAATTGTGTACGTAAGTACGATCCTCTGTTTATCTGTAATACCATTATTCTCGCCATTACCATTAAGATCTCTGAAATCACAAACAACGATCCTAGCTTATTATTATTGCTAGACCAATAAGAAAATATATACTATTATTCACTATTTAATTTTTTATTATCTCTGCAGCTTCTATTTTCTAGTATCTCAAATATTTCTTCCTTTAGAAACTTATATTATATAAAAATTTGTATTTTTACCATTATACGCACATCTAAGAATTCTATGCACTTTACAAATCAAATTAAGTTCAATATAATATTAAAAATTACTTTACATCACGATAGCTCTAATTATTCTCCTTAAGATCTATTAAATGTCTTAAGTTCCGAAATACATATAAATAATAGATACTCTATTTCTGTCTATATATTTATCCACTTATTTTTTTTTATTTTTTTATTTTTTATTTATGTGAAAGTATCTACTTGCACGAATGCGTAATTTAGTGCCTACGTATTATGTATTATTATGTGTATATCTGTGTATGGGTATATAAATGTCTGTACTGATATACATGTTTATGTATATATTTCTGCATGCTTTCTTTGGTATGTACATTTGTATCTTTGTATATATTTGTAGGCGTATAATGTCACACACATATTATATGTGTGTAAGTATGTATGTGTATGCTCATGCATGTGTATATGTATGAATGTATGTTTGTATTTATTTTATATTCTATGCGTTTATGTGTATGTATGTAGTTGTATATGTTGCTGTATACCACACATGTTGTGTGGGTGTATATATGGAAACATGCATGTATATGTATGAGTGTATGTGTGTATGTATGCATGTAAGTATACAAATAAATTGTTGTGTGTGTTTATACCTAAACATGCTGGTACTTCAATGGCACTGTAATGGTTTAAAAACTCACTTTAATGATTTAAAAATATTAGTAAAAGATATAGACCCGTTTTGCATTGCCCTACAAGAGACACACCTCACAATAAAAGCCAATTTTTCTATAAAAAATTTCGGTATATACAGAATAGATAGCACAAACCACAACCACACTCATCACAGAGTTTTAATAGCTATACATAAATCCGTATATTCTGAATCAATCACCATTAACTCCCACCTTCAACTTGTTGCAATCAGAGTTCACAAAGATTTTTCATTTTCCATCTGTAATATATACCTTCCACAAGACCGTACTATAGATAAACAACAACTCTTAGGTATCAATAACCAAATGCCTTCGAGTCCAGTTCTTTTTATTGGGGATCTGAACTGACACAACCCTTTATGGGGCTCCTAAAATATTAACACGCGAGGTAAAGTAATAGAAAGTTTTTTAGACACTTCTAATCTGCT